ATAACTGTGTGGCATGTGTGTAGATGTCCACAGAGGCCAGAAGAGGGCACTGGATCCCCTAGAGCTGGAGTTACAGGCAGTTGTGAGTCACCAGAAGTGGGTGCTAGGAACCCTGCAAGAGCAGCAAGCACTCTCAACTACCAAACCATCTCCCCAGCCCTCCAATTCGTATCTTTTAAACCACTTATTTCACTCTCTATTTTATTAAAATCAACAGAGAGTATATTTTACCTAAAATTTACTTCAAGTTTCTATAATTCTTTTTTTTCAGAATCACATCACAAAATCTCTACCCCCCTTCATATTATTTTGGCAGCATGCTGATTCTATCATTATTGAACAATGGTGTTCATGCCCAAGTTTATTCCCAAACAGAATGAAGAGGTTTGATTTGTTTTGCTTTTCTACCTCTTACATGTAATCAGGAGGGCTGTGCACACCTAAGCCACACAAGCACTGCTGTATAGTCCAGCTTCATCCCTCAGACGCTTTGTCTCTCTGGATCCTGGCATTTGTATATAACTGACCTGGTTTCCACTCCAGGTGGCTGGAATGCTGCCCATTGCTCCAGGGAAAGTCTGCAGCATGAAGGCAGCAGCCTTGATAGTCCTGAGCATATGGAGCCCACATGTGTTCTATGGCCTCCCGTCCCAGCAACTCCTGAATCTAATTGCTGAGCAGGAACAAATCCACCCCTGGCTGCCTGGAGTCACTTGGGATCCATCATCCAGCCTTTTCCCCCTACTTCCCCAATGAGCAGAACCCATATCAAAGTTTACATTGATTCTTGCAGCCCTGAACTGAATTCTTAGGAAACAGTGAATGAGTCAGGCCCTGATATTTCTTCACCCTGATCCCATGATTCAGCTTTTCACTTTTTTTTCCCCCCTCAGTCACTTCTATCAGAAGCTGCTGATTCAAGAGGAAGGAAGATAGGAAGTTAGGGGAATTCTAGTACCTATTCACATGCTCCCTGCAAGCTGCCAATGATCATTCTTTCAAAGTGTTCTTCCATCTTCTCAATTCTTTCTTTTGGAGTCAGCTATTCTTTCTAAAAATATTTTGGATTAAATTCTCTTTCATGCTGTTGAGTCTTCCACCCATCTGGATATCCTTGCTGCCTGCACACATTTAAAAGTGAGATGAAAATGTGTGGCATCCTTCAGTGTTGTAGTCAAGTGTATTCTCTCAGTAGGTCTCCCTCTTGATTTTGAATTTTAAGTGAGGAAGTATATTACCTTTGGGGTTCATAAGGAAGCCACTACCTTCCATCAAGGTAAAAGGTCAAATAAAGGGCTGATAGGCTCAGAAGGCAAAAATAAAAACAAACAACTTTATTTGGGTTGTTGGTATATGCCCAGAAAGTCCCAGTTTCCCTCCAGACAGGGAATTTGATTTTTATAGAGAAATGTTTGCTTAAAAATAAATATCTACCAACTATGCCCTTACTAAGGAGGAAAAGGAACAGACGGGAGAGTGTGGGGTTTATTCTGGCATAATGGCTTCCAGATGGCCTTTTGAATGCAGTTTGTATGTGACACAATTCCCACACTTACCACCCTTGCCCAAGCATAGCCTTGCAAGGGGCCGCCAAGAGCCTTTCCTGCTTCTTCTGAACCCCTATTCTCACACCCATGATGGTGGCACAAGCTTGTCACCTTGTCCACTCTGGAGGTGGAGGCAGGAGGATCAATTCAAAGCCCATCTTGGCTACAAAAGAACTATTTCAAAAAACAACTCTCATTCTATTTGCACGTAATTTCTTGTTCCTTCAAACAACTTACCTCTCTCCCCTCTACAAAAGGGTCTTTCCTTGTATTTGTCTATCTCCATTTAAATAACATTGTAAGTGCATCCTAGTCTACAAAATACCGTTTCAAAAAAAACTGATATATATTGAGTTGATTGTCATTCAAGCTGATTAACATAGCCACCTCAAACAGTTACCAAATGTGATAAAAGCTAAAACTGGCAAATTTCAGATATATAATATAGCATTAACTACAGTCACCATGCTACACATTAGGCATCTAGAACTTGTAGTGCCACCATCTCCCTACCAGCCCCACTCCCTTTTCCTACTCTTTTTTGCTGTGAGCAGTTTCTAACTTTCCTGTCCATCGGGATTTCAGAGTGAATGGGGAATGAAAGTTTGGCGTCCTATGTCCTCTACTGTGATCATGCTAGAGTCTCTCAGAAGTTAAGAATTTATCACAGCTCCTTTACCAATGCAGTAGTCTTCAGAGTAAACATCTTCCAGACAATACACTTCTGTCTCACATGCAACTGTTCATATACACTAAGAGACCATACAAGATTCCTGTTCCATGGAGAGGTGCTTAAAACGCAACTCCATCTTTTCCTTTTGTGTGTGGTGGGGGTGGGGATGTGAACGTGCTCTCTCATTTGTCCACATGTGTTCTGGGGTCCAGTCCGTCTTCCTCTATCACTCTCTGCCTTGTTTTTTATATTATTGGGGGGGGAAGGAAAGTGGGCACCATGACCTGTCTGTGGAGGTCAGAGGATAACTTTTGAGAATTGCTATCTCTTGTCGAGGTAGGCTCTCTCTTGTTTCTTCATGTTAGCTGGCTAGAGAATTTCTAGGCAATACTCATTTCTACTTCCCATCTCACCATCACAGTGCTGGAATTAAAGATGCTTCTTCATACCACATCAGCTTTCTTATACAGGTTCCAGAAACCAAACTCAGGTTCTCAGGTTTCAGCAGCAAGCACTTCTACTCGCTAAGCCATAATGTCAGCCCTCTCACCAGTCCCCTTCCTTATTTTTCAACACGAGTTCTGACTGAACCTAGAGCTTGCCTTTTCACTAGACTGGATAGACATCAAGTTCCCAGGGATCCCCCCTGTCTCCATTCCTGAGTCCTGAAATTGCAGATTCATGTCCAGCTTTTATTTGGGTTCTGGGGATCAAATTCAGGACCTCATGTTGTGCAGAAAACACTTTAAAAGTTGAGCCATCCCCCCAGCCCTATACTTCGACATTTCTCAATGTGACAAAAATTCAAGCAAATCTAAAAACCTTCGGATAATATACCAGCCACAAATTCAACCACTTAACACGCATGAGGACACAAGGGAGCAAAATCTCCTACCACTCCCAACATTTGAACCAATCAGTTCCACTCACAGGAAATGTATGGATGTTAAGTCTACAACATACATGAGCCTGGAACACTGAACATGCCACAACATGAATCAACAAACTAGGTGAAAGGAGCCAGGAGCAAAAGGTCCTGTGGTCTATAATCACACTAATATGAAATGTTCAGACAAAACATAGCTAAGTGGTTAACAGGTGGGGAGACTGGAAACAAGGACAGGATTTGTGAGGTAATAAAAATATTCAAAAATGGGACAGTGGTGATAGTTACACAGTTTAGTGAATATACTAAAATCTGTTCAACTTTTTCAAAAATTAAGACACCTGTCTCATATAACCCAGACTAGCTTTGGCCTCTCTGTATAAATGAGAATGACCTTAAACTTCCAATCTTCTGACCTCTACCTTGGCACCTCCCCACTCCTGCCCCATACTGGGATTATAGGCCTGCACCACCACACCCATTTATGTAGTACTAGGGGTGGAATACAGGAATTCACTCATGCTATACAAGCATTCTGCACCAATTGAGCTACAGCCCTGCCCTCATCTGCACACTTTAAAAGGGTAACATTTGCCTATCGGTGGTGGTGCATATCTTTAATCCCAGGATTTAGGGGGCTGAGGCAGGCTGATCTTTGTGTTCAAGGCCAGTCTACAAAAAGAGTTTCAGGACAGCCAGGGCTACACAGAGAAACTGTCTCAAAACTACAAAAACAAAAAGGGAGGAAGGGACATTTATGGTTTGTGGATCTAGTTCAGTGGTGGTGTGCCTAATAAGTGCAAGGCTAGGCCCTGGGTCAATTCTAACACTGTGTCCCCCACCAAATGTGACTGCTATGACATGAATTTTAGTGCTTTAAAAAAAAAGGCATTTTATTGCCAAAGATACTGAAGGGTTACAATCCCAATTCCTGTTAGTTTTTAAGATCTAAAACGTCTAACAGATCTTTGATGCTATTAAAAAACAGCAGGGCTGGAGAGATGGCTCAGAGGACTGCTCTTCCAGAGGACCCGAGTTCAAATCCCAGCCCCCCCATGGCAGCTCACAACTGTCTGTAACTCCAGTTCCAGAGGATCTGACACTCACACAGACCCACATGCAGGCAAAACACCAATACACATTAAAATAAGAATAAATTATAAAATTAAGAAAAAACAGTAAATCAATCATTTATAAATATGAAAAGTAGGCTACCAGACCATTCTAATTTAAAACAAAACAACAACAAAAAGGTAGGCAGCATTAATTGGGAAAGACGTGGGGAAGTCATGCAGGAAATGTTTTTCGGTGGGAGGCAGAAAATGAACTAATGAGGACCAAGGAGACAGCATCTTTCTTACTCTAAAATAGGGTACTTCAAAATTTCGTCCAAGCTGGCACAGGCCCCATCAACACTCTATGAAGTAGATACTCTTCCCTTAAATTTGTATAGCATTGCTAGCTAGTCCTTTACTTCCATGAAAGCACCGATAGCTTGTTTTTCTGTAAGGTCTAAATAACCTTTAGAAAGTGAACATTTCTGGGTTAATATGTATATATTACTAATGCCCCAACCACAGAAATGTAGATTTAAAAATAGTGCTCGAGGGTTTTCAAGGAAACCTGCCTATAAAATCAAATCTAAGAAGAATAACCAAGAAGGCTTCCACAGACTGCATGATTTCTTCACAGGCAGAACTGGTCTCAAATAGCCCCCAAACAGGATGTCTGGCTACAATTAGAAGAAACATGAGAAATGTGACGCCCACACACACACACAAAAAAAAAAAAAAAACAAAATATCTGAGATGTGTGTGAAAACAAGTGTGTGAAAACCACTAGCCTTACAGTCAGTCCACTAATCACGAAAACTATTTTAAAAGATGAAACTCACCTTCAATTACAGGGTGATTATATATAGATGGTCCTTAAAAGATGCCAAAATGCAGCAGCTTTCTAATAAGTAAACTAAAATAGACTCGGAAACTTAATGGTTCAAATGCATACATAGTAGCATTCCAGAAAAAATTACAGAACCTGGCTTTCTTCAATGGAGTGATGCTGTCTCTATCCCACCCTGAGCAAATACATTATTTTGAAGAATTCTCACTCTATTTTAGATGAGGAGCGGGTTGGGTCCTCTGGGTTCTCACACGTTACTATTTTCTGCCTCCCACTGAAAATGTGTCAGCCTCACGTACACTCTCTGGTTACATGGTGTGTGCATAATATTAAAAGGGAAAAAACCCAAAACGCCTACAAGACTAGTCACAAACAGCATTAATACTTCAGAATGGAATTTAAATCAGTCATCTGAACAGGAGACTCCTAGATCCTGTTGCTATTTCTTGAATGCTTTTATAGGGTGTCATTTTTTTCCCACCCTGCCCTTTTCCTTTATTGAATTTTCATACAATGAGTTTGCTATGACCATCACCGGATATAAGAACAACAACAAAAAGTTACAGCTGGATCCTGTATTGGCTTCAGCTGCAGCTACAGTTAATTTCTTTTTAAAAGCCTGCAGGAAAGCACTGAGGGAGGGAAGACAGACAGACTCATTCCCAAGAGTTCAAGTTTGCTCTATATCCAAGGATGTGGCAGCAAAGCATCTTTTTTGTGTTATGTAACTACAGTTTTTCCAAATTCTCCAATCTTAAAGTTCATTTTATTATAAAACCCCGGCCAAATATTCCAATAAAATCTTTACTATGTTAAGCCAGACAACTGATCACCTCCATATGGTATGAGTCTAACAAAGCATTGTGCACGCTGGCTCCTAATTCACCCACACACACAGTCCATTGACATCTGAGCCATTTAGTTACTTCTTTTGGCTACCAACTTAGGCCACATTTACCAAAAAAAACACAGGAAATGAACACAGCTTTGACCTTGAATTATGAAGATGATTTTAAGTATTTATAATGAAAGTAGCATTAAAGAAGGAAACTAAAACACATCTCTCTTGCTCATGGGCATAATCTAGTCTATAGTTTGCAAAGAATATTGGAAACCAAGACTATACTCATCAAAAAAAAAGTAGAAAAGTGAAAGATACTAGCTATATGATCTGTATCTTAGAGGTTAAATATGTAAGAAAATAGTGAGGCTGGAGAGATGGCTCTGCAGTTAAGAGCATTGACTCTCTCTTCCAGAGGACCAAGGTTAGAGTCCCAGCACCCACATGGCAACTCACAACTTTTGTAGCACCAGTCACAGGGGATCTGACATCCTTTTCTGGCCTCCAAGGATCCCAGATACACATGTAGTATCCAGATGAACATTCAGGCACAACACCCATACATAAAATAAATTAATGTTTCAAAAGAAAAATAGTTTGAAAAGACTTCAGACTCTATGTGAAATACTGTGGAATTCCCTCCGTGTCGTCCCCACCCCCCCATATCTGTCTGTCTGTCTGTTTAAGACAAGGTCCAATTCTGTCTCCCTGCCTGGGCTGGCCTGAAAACTCACTGGAGTAACATGAGCAGCATCCCACTTCAGCCTCCCAAGTGCTGAGACCACAAATGTGAGCCCCCACATTGGATAGGAACTGCTGTTACTCTTTAAGTGGAACCATAGTTGTGGTTCTACAGAAGACTGTCCACAGCAAACCAGACACTAAATTATTTAAGAAGAAAATACAATACTTGCAACTTATTTTCAAATACCTCTCTCTCTCTCTCTCTCTCTCTCTCTCTTTCTCTCTCTCTCTCTCTCTCTCTCACTTCCCCCACTTAAATTGTATTAAGAGGTTGAAAACAAACAAAATTTTAGCAATTCATGAATGTAAAAAGACAATGGGTTTACAGTTATTAGGATGAAATTTGAACTGCTAATTACGCACTTAACAGCTCAATGGTAAATGTATAGGACTATTTGTTTTATCATTCCTTCACAAAGTGTATATTTGAATATTTTCAAAATAAAAAGTTTGGAGAGAAAAATCATGCTAATTATACTGCCAATTACAAGCTGTTCCTGCAGGCCCAAAACAGAAGCTATTACAACTCACTCTACTGGACCTGTGAACTGGGGCAGCCAAGGGCTAGAAGACATGAGTGTCTGCTATTGAACAATTTCACTTAGATTTTTAAACATTCGTTTCACATATAAGAAACTTGAAGCTCAGGGAGCATAACTTACACAAGTCAGGAAGCTAGAAACAATATATATGCCAATGCCAAGTTTAACAACTAGGTTCAAAATGTCTCTATGTATCTAAGCACACAGAAGAGTACAAAGACTCAGAACAAAATTTCTGAAACAGGCAAAAACTGTGAAGTCACAAACAACAAGAAGTGATAGGTGCCTCTCCAGACCCTAGTTAGGAAGAAATGGCTGCAAGGCTATCTCCAGCAACATGATTCCAATCATGTTAGCCAAAATGAGGGCTGGTGATGGAACAGGCTGCCTACCAAGTGCTGTGGCAATCCTACAATTCCAAAATCCAATTGTTGTATGGAAGTAACTAACTCTACATGGAGATAAGAGAGAGGCATGTTTGGAACATCAGGAACTAAGAACATCAAGTTCAATTCTCCTAAGCTAAAGACCACCCTCTCTAGCTTCCATGTGGGATAATGCTCAGGTTAGTGTTGCAGCCCAAGCCAGTCAGCCTCCTTTCTTCCCTTTTAATCAGTGCTAGGTGGAATAGCCCTGCCACTAACAACTTTACAACTCTTTCTTTAAGGAAAAGGTACAACTGTAAAAATCTGTTCTTGAAATCTCCAGTCACTAATCTAACCAGCTATGTTTCTTGACCTAATAACCAGCCGCACCATACCTGAAACTGAGGAGCTCCTGTGGGAAATGTTCTGCTAAAGCAGCAACACCAAGAGCAAACTCTTGAATTCTCAACTCCCGGGCAGCCTGTACCAACCCTCACTGGGGCAGCACTGAGGATAGAACCCAGAGTCTCACACCACTGATCTACACTCCTAGCCAGACTAAATTCTTGTAACCCTACCAGAAACCTTGGCTGCATGGTCATGGTGGCGCATGTCTTTAATCCCATCACTCAGGAGGCAGAAGCAAGCAGATCTCTGAATTTGAAGCCAGCCTGGTCTACAGAATGAGTTCAAGGACAGCCAGGAGCTACATAAAGAAACCCTGTCTTGAAAAACAAAACAAAACAAAAAACCAAAATAACAAAAAACCTTTATAAGTAACTGAGGAAAGTCAAATAAATAAAAGTTTTGATGAAACACTTCTAAAATAGATGGTGTCCACCTCTCATCAAACCCAAGACCAAAATAACCCATAATAACTGACAGAAGACAAGCAAGCCCAATTGTCCTTTACTGTGAAGAAGAAAGGTAGAGGCCATGTGAAGGTTAACAGAGATTTAAGATCTAAAAACTAAATGTCAAAGCATTAACAGAGGCAGAGTCCCAGGGGAAAGAGCTTATGTTCTTTCCAGATTGAAAAAGAAAAATTAGTCATGTTCGGCATGTCCAGCCACATTATAGGCATTTATGAAACACAACTACCACCCCAGAAGCCAAATGAGGGTGGGACACAGATGTCCTACTTAGAACTCTGCTCCTCTAACTGCTGTCATCAGGAGTGAAGGTCATGGGACAAGGTCTGGGGAACAAGAGGCAGAGCATGCAAACACCGGTCTGAAGCAAAGGTGAAAGCACAGACACTAATACCCACTTGCCCAGCAGAGAGCTTAGCCTCTGTTTTAGATAAGAAAAAGCTAAGGTTCAGCCAAGGCAATATGTCAATAGCCAGTCTTTAAAAAAGAAGAAAGCAAAGCTTCAGAATCGTGCTACTTTGGGAATCACAGACAGCCTATGGTTCCTGAGAAAATGCAGTGCTTCATATGGGTTTGTCCCATATGAAGATTCTCTTGCCATGTGGCAATGAAAGGCATCATTTTCTTCTCAAATCATTCATGCTCTCAGAAATGCAGTCATGTACTGAATTAAAATCTGCAATCACTCAACCTCCCACACTTGGGATATACAGCCTTGTCATGTGAACAGACCAAACATTTAAAAGACTCTAAAATCCTCTATTTTCCCATACTCTAACACAAACAAAAATGAATTCATTTGTCTGATCTTTTCTCAACTCAAAAAAATTTTAATATAATTAGTGAAACTTGGCAAAGGGCATTCGTGAGCATTTTCTTTTATTTCCTCTCTGCTGAGAACTAAAAGGGAGTCCTGTCTTCTAATAGAATGTTAAGTTGCCAATGCCTGCACCACTCTTCCTTACTGTGCTTAAAAAAATATTGATGCTGAAATAATTATAATCATAAAAGTCTGCCAAATGCAGCTATAAAAATATCATAGGCATAAGAAAATATCATTTTGTTTATACATCTTATGCAGAAGAACAAAGTGTTAATTTCAAAAAGAAAATATAACCTACCTCAGTTCTTAAAAAAATATATATATATTAATACAGAAAAAGAAAATGCTTTCCCCCCTTGTCTTCTACAGCAATGTGATCCTTGCTGAGTGAGGGAAAAGGAAATGTACCTGCTGCCTCATAGCTTCAGGCCAGTCGCCTCTGGTTCTAAGTGACAACACCTCTTCCTGGTCATTCTAATAAGAAGGGTTTTATTGCCCTATGTGACAGGAAGTATAGAGACAATGATGCTACAAGGGGGATTAATTCAGCAAAAATCTCTTGAGTGTGTGGGCTTAGAACTCAATGGACTAGCCATCAAAGATCAATAAAGTTCAATGTAAGGAAAAAAACCGTACCCTCTGTATGTTTAAGACAAGAAACACCCCCCTCCCCAAGAAACCCCTCTACAATCGGTCAATGCTGGCCCTCCTCAGACTGGTGACAGGAAAGTGGGATTACTCAGAGTACTCAGACTGAGTGGCCAGGACCCAGTCCTGCCGGGGGAGATATCTTCTGTACATGGCTCTGTACACAAGAAAGAAAACAGGGTGGACTTGTGATAGGGGACGAAACACAGTAATAATCACAAACTACACAGAAATAGGGAACAGAGTAATGAACAGGTAGACCAACTTTTCTCTCATGCCCCCTCCCCACCAAATAACTATGGTTCCAAACCACAAAGCATTAAATATTGCTTTATAGAAAAGAAAATAAATTATTTAATTCCATCAGCCAGCCTATTATTTAAAACAATTCTAGAAATAGCTAC